ATGTGTATGTTGACATCAGATTACCTCCGATCTGGCACGATTAGGTCCAGCGAAACAGATCTGTGATCCATTTGTTTTTTCGAACCTGGCCAGAGTCTGGGGTAACCAGGTGTAAACGGACACTCATAGACCTAAATTGGGCATCCAATGGGGTCCACTTGAAAAACTGATGGGCGGACCCGATAGGCTCCGTTCACACAGGTGGTCCAAAAACCCTTCTATTGCAATTGTGTCCCCTGATGTGTGGAGATTCGCCCTCTCGATTTGTCATAGAGACTATAGACACCAGCACAGAAAGTGATGAGAAATCCCAAATTTGTATTTGTCACCAGAATGAATGGTAAGGTTAAACTTCCAATAGAGACAATTGTTCAGATGAACGCTTTTAGTAGTGATTTCACCTAACTTTCTGTGTCTCCCTGATGAGTGGTTTTGTCTAGAGACACACTTTAACCACTTGCTGTCTGGAGCACTTTCTTACTATTTGCACACACATGATATAATCTGAATTTTGGGCTAGAAAACAGCTTCAAACCCCCCAAACAATGATATATTTTTTGAAAGCAGAGGCACTGTAGAATAAAAAAAATAATAGTTGCAGTTTTTATGTCGCTTGGTATTTGTGCAAATGTTTATTAAACCAGTATTTTTAGGATAAAATGCACTAAGATGAATTTTATTGCACAGAAACAGAATATCATACCCACTTTTTTGTTAAATTATAGAAGATAGGGTCACACCAGGTAAATAGATACCAAACATGTCAAGCCTTTAAAATTGCGTTCGCTGGTGAATCCGCAAAAAATTTCAATGCCCCAAATTTCCCATATGGGGCACTTTAAATGCTTTTTCCGTTTATCAGTTTAGTGCTAACAGTGATCAATGGTTCTAGAATTTTTGCACCTAGGTGCACCCTACATGTGTTTGCATATGTGGGGGATAGGGGACTATCCCAAAATAGTATTATTGTTTTTTTATTATTATTATTATTATACAGGATTTATATAGCGCCAACAGTTTGTGCAGCGCATTACAATATAGGGAAGACATTAGAGTTAGAATACAAATGAAGACAAGATGGTAAGGAGGGCCCTGACCATGAGAGAATGTACATGCCCTAGCAGTGCCCTGAACACATTTGCAGTGCTCATCAATTGAGTTGCATGGAGACGTTTGACAACTTGTAATGATGGGCAAATGTTGCAGGCAACATCAAAATGGATTAGAAGCGACACAAGCCAACTAGACCATTTGCTATTCATGCAAAGAACAGGCATTTGCAAAGCTTTATTAATGTGAAGAAAATGCCTGTTTTTTGTGACCTTGTGAATGAGGCAGTTCTGTCCTGCTGACAGCGGTTTTGCTAGACAGAAAGTGAGGAAAATCTGCAATAAGGACACAGACCGCAATAACAAGCTGACAAGAGTTTTATCCTTACCCTGTTTTGTTTAAAGAGACCCTGTCATCAGACGTCACTTTTTAAAACATTGCAGCAGTAGAACATAATAAGCACCTGCCCCACTTAAAAGTAAAACGTTTTTTCTTCTTCTTTGTTGTGACCCCTGTAACTTTAGTAGCAATCTAACCACTTTCTGGAAGTGTCAGTTCATGCTCTGCTATGTGCAAGCTTCTGCTATAAGTCTTTCTGACCCGTCATCAGATAAAGACTGTCCAGGGAGCCTCAAACATAAATGAATGAGTCTGTCTGGGGCTGCTGATGTCATATCTAAGATGGTGGCACCCAGCAGCAGGCTCAGTCCTTACTATCCAAATGCCATAATTATCACAGGGAGATTTAATGCAAGAAACAAGGTAAATTGACATACTGTATAATTGTATGTGAAGGTTGTTGCTGACATTAAAGGATTACTAAAACACAAAAACAAAATGTTATAATGGCACAGCTTACCAATCCTTTTAATGTGTTGGCTGTATCAGTTTTCTTTTTTCACGCTAACAATGTTTTCAGCAAGACCAAAAAATGTCGTACAAACACGTTGCTCTTGTCAGAAATGCATTGTCCATGCCACTTTTTTGTGTCTTAAATGGAAGAATGTTCACAACTTTGTATGTGGATCATAAATAAGCAAAGGGAATAGCTGTTTCACAGCCATATCATACAATATGTTTTTGTGTTTCAAACCCTCCTCCAACATTTAAAAGCTTCTTAACTGTGAGAGCTGATCTGTCATTTGTAACCTTCACTGAAATTTGCAATTAGTAAATCCCTTCCTATATCTGATTATGGGTACATGCTGTTTGTTTCTTAACGGTTATACTTTAAAATGGATCTTGCATGAAAAATCAAGGTCCATTTATTAGCTAGACCCCACCACCCCCTAAAATTATTTTTGATGTAAAAGCAAAACAAAAAATCCCCAAAACACACCTTACACCCTAGCTTCTGATGCTCTCAACTAAGTAAGGGTTATGTCACTAGGCCTTCTCCGGAACCTGGGATAGTTGAGTATTCCAAATCTTATGAGAATGCACTCCTGCGCAATACAAAAATAAAGTCTCAATGGAATTGGGATCCACAGCTTTCCCATCTTCCTAGAAAAAGACTCCATTGTATCACCCGCCGTTATATGAGTGCATTGGAACATGTATTTTCTTAATCCTTCATTAAAGGTGCCCATACACCTTACGATTATCGTACGATTTTCGTATGCGATCGACTTTTCGTCCGATAATCGTATGTGTGCATTGCAGTGTCCGACCGACAATACTGTACAATCGTACGACTTTTGACGGTCAAGCATGTTTGAAAACTTTGCTAGATTGTACGATTTGTTGTAAGGTTGCTGGCGTTTCCGTCCGTCAAAAGTCGTACGATGTACACTGCGCTTGCGCTAACGAAAATACGGCAAATCAATTACCGCATTTCGTCCAGGTGCTTTTCATTAATTACGGCTAAATTAGTCTTGCGATCATCGGGGCAGGATGGGGCTGCCGTATGAAAATTGTACGACTATTCGATCATCGGACGAAAAGTTTTGTCCGATAATCGTAAGGTGTATGGGCACCTTAAGGGACAAATTTGTTATACTGCCACCTTCAGGCAAATTGAACACTGGCAATAAAAATAATCTACCAGCCAGTATAACCTCTCCCATCATGCCTCAGTTTTTTGTTAGTGTCCAAGTAGAATACATCTCTTTTTTGCCTGGGGAATAGCATCACTGTTACTTTTTCTTACTTGCCAATACATTTTGTTTCTGCAATCCAGATTGTTTGTTACTTCAGAGCCTAGAGGGCTCCAAGGCACAGTTTTCCAGATTGTCTGATCCTCAGCTCAGCCTTGCAACACATTCTTAGACCCTGCGATAAAGAAGATGTCTTTAATATGACCTGCAGGCACTGGGCTCTGCTTGGCTCTCTTTTCAGGCCACCTAGTGTATTGTTTAAGTTAGCCACAGAGCGCTTTACAGGTCCAGGGTGGTGGTACTCCTGCCGGGGGCAGCCCATCCCTGAAGACACTTAAGGCTATGTCCACTGGAGGGAAGAAGATTGCTGTAAGGGGCTTGCTCCCTTAGTCCTGTTTCACATCTTCTCTACTGTGCTTGTGGCCACAGAGAACCTTGCTGACCTCTGTTATGTTAAGTCAGGGCTTTGTCCTTCTGGGAGCTATGGAGTTTACTTGGCCAATTATCCCCACTGGGGTTAAGATCTAGGGTGTGACGTGTGTATCCACCAGCATTAAGGGAAGCGGGCGCTGCTTCTATATTTGCACTGTCACATGCCTTTTTAATGCGCAAGCATGGCTTCTTCAAATATGAATTCACGCACTGCCTCTTTTGCCTTCTACTGTCTTTTTTGCCTTCCACTGTGTACTGCACTGTTGCCATGCTCCTCTCCTGGAACTGGACATCTAGTTTCCTGCTGCTGGTGCCTGATGCTGACAGCCTGGACAGCGATCCCTTGCCTAAGTCATTATGCCCTGTAACGGGGGGGTCTCCACTACCTCCCCTTAGTGTGACTCCCTCGTTTGCATTATCCAGGGAGGAATTGTCTGCTCCTATGTCAAACCTTATGACCAAAATCACTTCCATAAGAACTGACTCAGAAAACATCCTTCTGCCCCAGCAAAAGACTAATGGCAAAATCTTCCACTCCTGAACCTAAGAAGAAATCCTTTAATTTTTCCCAGTCTTCTAGGACAATGGCAAAACTTTGGATTCAGTTCCACTGCAACACTTGGACTCCCAAAACCTACAAGCCCATGACCAAGCCCTTCTGGCAATGAGGGGGTGCCCCCACTTCTTAGAGTGTGGTGATGTTTGTTGGCTTTTTGTTTACCACCTTGGATGCTTTGAATGTACTTTTTGTTCATATGTGCAGGGGGCTTTAAATATTTGTATACATCTCTTGTTATTATTTTTTTTATTTTTGATGAGATGTACATTTTTTAGCTTTTTTCTGTTATTTTTAACCAAATTATCACAAAGGGGACTGATAAAGCTGCCTATGTGATAGCATGGTGCAGTTGACAGGTTCTCTTTAAGGAGACATCATGGGTTCATTAAACCCCTAATGTCAATGCTGCACTCTGTTGAAGGCAATCAAGCACATGCTGTGCCCGATTTAAATTTTTTCCTGGTCAAAGAGGCCACATATTGACATATCTGAACCCAGAAGTGCTCAGCTGAGGGCATGCCCTGCTCATTCTTCCCACGGTAGATCAGTAAATGGATGTTTGCTGATCTAGTAACACATGCCATGGAAGTCTCGGGCATCTGGGAGGGACAAGTAAGCTCGGGACATGTGATTGGGGAGGGGGTTTCACATTACTGTACATGTACAAATTATCTGAGGTTTTTATGGAATATTGTACTACCGATTCACAGGGTTTAGCTAAGTAAATATTATAATGACATGATATTTTGCTAATTTGTTATGGGCTTACAGTACAGTGGTTTTAGTACATAATATTGACTGTGTTACAAGGCAGTAATGACCCTGATTTTTTATATATTTTTTTATTTCTGTTTTATTATTAGTTAATGAAGAAGAGCTCAGGAGAAAAATTGCGGAAGAACTAGCTCTGGAACAAGCAAGAAGAGAGATTGATAATCTAAAAAGGTTGGTTTAATGTAAGATCTAAATTAAATTATTGTATATTCCGCTCTGATTTCTTCAAGGAATCCTATAAAATGCCTGCTGTCTTAATCTAAATAAATATACACAGTGGATTTTAACGAAAAAGTGCAGCACTTTGATATACGTGACGCAGTGAGCCAAATGTATTACTCATCAGTGACACTAAACTCAAACTTAAAAATGCATTCAAGTCCGTTAACTATTAACAAAGATGTAGCTTATTGGTATATCACTCATCTGTAGATCCTCAAATCATCTCTGAATTGGTGCCGACACTGTCCTTCCTTCTGGAGAGTGGCTACTTTTATTCCTCATGGTCCCTGTGTGTTTTGTAAAGTAGCTACCGCTCCAAGCTCGCTTCTGTGATGGACTATATTTTCAACAAACATGAGGTTATAGTCCATCGTTGGACCTAGATTGGCATGGTGGCTAATTTACAACACACACAGGGACCATGGGGAACAAAGGTCGCCACCCTCCAGAAGGAAGGACAGTGTCCGCACCAATTCATAGATGATTTAAGGATCTACAGCCAGTGCAGACCTTACTAATCCAGCCTGTCGGCCAGAGCCCAGATCTGTTAGAGCTCCGGCCGAAAGAAACTAGTGAGTGCCGGCACTGATAGGACCAGCTATGCAGGCTGCATCTGACAGCAATGCAGGTCATGTAACTGCTCTCGCAAGTCAGGAACGTGGTTCGTGACCGCGGGCCACATGGTACCAGTTCGCGGGCCGGTACTTTGAGACCTCTGCTTTTAAATATTACTGTTTTTCTGCAGTTGTAGTATAAATGAATACGTTTCCTTGAACATATTTCATTGGCTAGAACTAATTGGCTGGAAGTAAAAATAATTAATTGGCTAGAACGGTTTCCACCGCTAGAGACCGGTTTGGATTGTGTGAGTCGCTGAGACAGCAGATCAGTCAATAAGGTAACTTAAGTCATTTTAATGCATCTACTGTTTTAGTAAAATCCATGTATAATGTTTTCAAGAGAATATTTGTTTTACACTGTACTGCGGGGTGTTCAATGGATTGTAGCAAGGTGAAAGATCAATGAATTTTTTTTTCGTAGATGTTACAATATATGTTCTGTTGCAGTTCAGTGCTATTGGGTAAACCGATATACTATAACACAAGAAAGCTGTTATGTCTGCTACCCTTAAACTGAAAGAAATAATTTAATGTATGTAGTTTATTTTGAATTCATAATTACAAACATGGATATTTTTTGTAGCATTTTATAAGTTCAGTATGGTCAAATTACAGAAATATAGGTAAATTATAGATACTATTTATGTATCCCTGACTCTTCTAAAATGTGATTATAATATTTATAGATTTTGAAGTCATTGTTTATTGTACATTCAATTCAAATATTTTGTAAAGCTTAAGTCAACTTTTTATTTTAGATAAAATCTATTAAAGGAGAACTATGGGGTTCTATCTTTTCTTGATTAATGCATTCCTTAGGCTAAATAAGTAAATTATGTAATTTACTCTAATTAGCCAAAATGCACAGTAAGGCTGTAAACCCTTATTTAAGGTGGTGGGCGGGGCTAAGCGCCGCAATGAGGAGACATCCCGACGTGTCTGACGGGATCCTCCCCACTGATCTTCCTCACTGTGACTGACAGTGATTCTTGAGAGCTGGAGATCCCTGCAGATCGCATGCTTGCCAGTCTACAGGGACACCATTTACCATATATGGACTTTCCCATTTGTAGTAAATGCTGAAGAGAGAGGGCTCCTTCCCCCCTCTCTCTCTCCCTGCCCTGTGTGACACTGGCATACTAAAAAGATCGTGGATCGCTGATGACAGAGCCGCGACAGTTCAGGTTCAAGGCCCCGTTCACATTGAGCGGTTCGCAAATCGCGCGATTTGCATTTTGCGCGATATTGAGCAAGCTTAGCTTTGCATTTCATTTGACTTAAAGGAGAAGTCAAAGTATGCATAGATTTCTGAGCCAGTTGCAAGACGTTGGGTAGGAGGATTCTGGAAAATGCTCTGACCAAATGGGTGCTTTTTCAAAAAATCTTGACTAGTTGAAAGTTAATAAACTAATGTCTTCCTATTAAAGTAAATTTGTGGCTCTACTGTATTGAAAATGTATTTACTTTGAATAGTCGGTATTTCCATCTACCTACACATCCTTTGGTATAAAATATGGTATAAAATTCATTTCAGTACAGCGTTGCATGACGGAATAAATGTCAGCCAAAGTACTGCAGCTCTGAATACTGAAAAATGGCCTGGCCAGGTAGGGGGTTTAACACCTGAGCAAGTGGTTCATTTGTGGTTTCTTTTTTTTCTTTTTTTTTTTTTTACATACAAATGCCACACAAGGAAAACCCCATTTTTCTATGTATGTAAATTTGAAATCCCATCTGCTTTCTGGAGCCCTGCAAAATACATGTGTATCCAGTAGTATTCCCATTTCTTTATGTAATCGAAGTATGTTTTATCATTAGGGATGCACCGATACGAGTGTTTGGGCGAATACCCGTACTCGCCCAAATGCTCCGATACTTTGCCCAAATACTGACCGGAAGTTCCGATACCGAAACTTCCGGTCAGAGGGAGATCTCACTCTGACTAGCAGCGCCAAAGGAACATGAAGCCGACTTCCTTTCCAATCAGGAAGTTGGGCGGCGGGTTATGACCCAAGCGTCCCGGTTTCCTGATTGGTTGCTAATCCAGGCTGCCTAGCAACAAGTGAAGCCAGCTTCATAGTCAATCAGGAGGCAGGTCATGACGTGCCGCTCGGCCTCCTGATTGGCTAGGAAGCTGGCTTCACTTGTTGCTAGGCAGCCTGGCTTCCTGACCAATCAGGAAGCCGGGCGGCACCACATGACGTGCCGTGCAGATTCCTGAGTGGACAGAAAGCCAGGCAGCTTCGGGAAGTAAAGCCATTGTTCTTTCGTTAGAACACCGGCTTCCCAGACAATCAGGAAGCCGGGAGAGACGGGGTCATGGTCCGATACCTGTACTCGATATCGAAAAAACGGTATTGGTGCATCCCTAGTAAATACCAAGGTATACATAAAAGAAGGCAGAAATGTACCCTAGATAGTGTGTTGGAAAAAATGGTTTTAATAATGATGGGTATAATTACATTTTAATGGCTTGAATATCCTTGCCAGAGGTTTCTAAGGCGCACACCCTTATGGACCACAAAATACGGTATATGTACAACTAATTGTGTATTGTACCTTTATTGTGTATTTATGTAGTGTTGGAGTCAGTGGCTTTATTAGCCTACAGGTTTTTAATGATGTTTTCTTGACATTGCGGCTATAGGGTACAAAGGCCTAACACCCAGCGGAAGCAAAGGCAGTGACCTAATTGGCCTAAGTGGCCTAAGCATTTATCTATGTGACTGGGTGATTGACTTGGCACAGGCAGATGGTATCATGGCTCATAAACCTTGGGCTTGGCAGTGTGCTTCTTGTCAGCTGCGTGTAGCTCTCTTATTAAGTTCTGCTGAAAGGTTTGTGCAGCACATTGGAACAACTGTGCAACTTATTGCACAGAGTGCACATGGCTACAAAGTTCTAGCATCAGCGATCAGTCATGTATGACATACTGATGTTTGGAAAAATGTTATCAAATGCGAAAAAAAATAAAGATAATTGGACTTGGTATAATAATGCTTACCACTTTGAAAATATTCTGATCTTTGTTAGAGTATTGCCCATTTAGTGGCCACTTTATTCTTTATAACTGCCTATTAACAAAATGAGTTAAACTAGAAGTTATGTGGCTATAGCTTGATATATAAGAACTCATTTACTTGGCTACTTAGGGCTGTACACCGTCAAGAAGGGGTGTATTGCTGTGTCCAGACGTCACAGGGGTTTGTGTACAGCCGCGGTATGCAACGTGTGCAAATTATTGACAGGGTGACAGACTCCATGATTGTACGTAAGTGCGAGTCCTTACAAGTGTACAGGGATGAATTGATGAGTGTCCTTTGACTAAAACAGTTTGTGCCCAGGGCCACTGACCCTTCCCTATATGCTTGGAATTTCTTGAATTTGCATACAGCCATGGCATCTGTTGGTCTGTTCTTGATTTGTACAGACTGCTGGCTGTGAATCCTGGCAACAGAAATTTGCTCCTCCTTGATGGTGTATGGCCCTGTGCAGGGGTGGACTGAACATTTGGGTAGCCGAAAACTGCCCGGGGGCACGTGGCCAGTGCCGCTGACAGGAGGATACAGGCAGCCTCCTGTACCGGGCCGGGCCCCATCAAGTCAGCAGGGAGAGCCTGAATCCAGTACAGGCTCCTTGTAGCAAAGGAGGATGGTCCTGCCCAGTTGCCATGGTAGCCAGTTGATTGGCAGGCTCATTCCCTACAGGGACAGAGGCTCCTCTACATAGGAGGAGAGGAGCCTGTTAATCAGCTTGTTACCATGGAGAGTGGGCGGGACCGTTTACTGGGCAGGCCTATCAGGTCCCGTCTGCTGCCGGGGTTGTGCTGATCAGCTGCTAGAAGGACCAGCCACTTTCAGCACATTTGGCTCCACCCCCTGCACCGCCCACAGCCCGTGGTATCAGGAGCGGGAGTCCTACCATGAGGTAAGCTGCGGGGGGTGAACAGGCCA